TAATATAATAATATAATATATTTATAATGTAACTAATATGAAACATAATATAAAAATTTATAAACATTATATTAATTATAAAATTTTCGTCATAATCTTTCTTTACCAAAGCAAAATTTTCATCCGAAAAGAGTTAATTGACCATGATCGTGAAAATAATTTAAATTTACAATTTGCATACAGTGAACATCCGCAGTCCGAAATGCAATAGAAAGAATGAAGTAGAAAGGGGGGGGGGAAAAAAATAAAAAATAAAAGGAACAAAGAAATCACATTCGATGAAATTCGTTTCGTTCGCTCGATCAAAGAAAGAAATTGTTCGCTCGGATTCTGCTCGACGATAGCTGACTTGTCTACGGCGATCTGTAATCAATTAGACGCCGATAGCGATCGAACGCTGTCGCCTAGTTTAGCAAAAGCGATCATGCTCACTGGCAAATGGATCATGAGACATGCCCGAATTACTTGTGTTTGCAGTAGTCTCCACGGTATGCTAGATTGAATTACTTTGCTGATATTCATTTTGCCGTGTTGTGGTATTCTACAATTTCGCAAATGAAGATTGATACAGTTTTTGGATTGTTCGAACGAAGATTTGAGTAAAATGTACTTGAGCCTTTGAATTTTCAGATTTTTGTTTCCCAGTAAATCGCAGGCTAGGAGTTGCTTATTAATTAGTAATACTTTCAATGAGAAAGAAAACGAAAAGTAGAGGATATCTCACTCATTGAAGAGTAACTATACAGAACGTGAAAGAAGAAAGAAGAAAGTGAGAGAGTGATTCCGAGTCTTTTCAAAAGTGGAATTTCAGTAACAGGAGGGAAATAATAGAAAGACGGTAAGAAAGAAAACTGTAATAATAGGGGAGAAGATACAAAGAAACAGAAGAAAAAGAAGATTCCAGTAATAAAAGAAGCTAGAAGTAAGAACACTAAGAACACTTCAGCAATGCACAACAATAAAAAGGACACGCAAGAACAGGAATTCTGCATTCCAGCAGGAATAAAGGAAGTATTACGAAAAAAAAAAAACCGAATAAGTAGCTTCAGTAATAAAAAAAAAAAAAAATCAATACAAAAACGCCAAGAAAGGAATATAAAAAATAGCACAAGGACGACAGAAAAGGTATTGCAAGAAAGATCAATCTAACGGGTGTTGAAAAAAAAAAATTAAATTCTGACAATATGAAAAATGTAATAATGATTAAAATTGAATTGTAAAATCCTTGGTACTTTTACAATCTTTGGCTATATCATGGAGATTATTGCACGTTATAATCTGTCCTTTGCCCCGAGAATTACTCTACTTGATTTATTATGTACTTTATTAGTAGTGATGGGATCAAGCAGGTAATATTGGAACAAATAATATTGGAACAATTGTCACATAGAGTGTAGCTTAATGAATATTTTAAAAAGAAGATTATTCCTCATAAAATGATTCTATGATCTTGAGCCTCTCAATTTCTGTAAAAAAAAAAAAGATGAATGCTGGATTTGATTTAATTTATAATAAACTTGATTCTATGACTATTCCTAAAAAGCAGGAGATAAGGAAATAGGAGAGACATGAATTTTCAATAAGAAGTTACAAATTACATTGAACAAAACCATATTTCCAAAGAGAAAGGGAAGGGAAGTTGAATAAAAAATTACAAATTTCTTACAAATTTGCATTGAACTGCTAGATCTCGTAGAACTGCGTGTATTTGTGTCCTTTTTGCCACGTGAGTGTCTCGCTGATGCGACTTGTCACTGTGATGTGTCAAAGAAACACACTAGGCCAATTAAAGTAGTAGAGAGAGACTCGCGTGTGCGCGCGCCAAGAAAGAAAGGAAATCGCATTTAAAAAGCTGAGTGGTGTGTTTGTTGTTTTCAGAGTGATATTTACGGGCATCTACACATTTGAGTCCGCCGTTAAGGTGATGGCGAGGGGTTTCATTCTGCAGCCTTTTACCTATCTTAGAGATGCATGGAATTGGCTCGACTTCGTAGTTATAGCTTTAGCGTGAGTAGTTAAAAACTTATTTTTTTGT